GTGTGTGTGTGTGTGTGTGTGTGTGTGTGTATATATATATATATATACATTAACAAAATCCAACGCAATGGCATAATTGCTAGATAGTTAATGCTCCGACGCAGTGCGATGCTGGGACAAATGCAGACTGGACTCACCCTTCATGGTTAAAGCTTATCTCCATCTGTATCCTAAGCCAGGAAGTGCTGGGCAGGAATGAGAATTCAAGAAATCCCACTCCTCGCCACCCAGGATGTCTGAGAAGGGAGGGTCAGAAAAGCCCAGAGGCTAATGGGGCCCACCCTTTGACCTGGGGGAGCCTCCTCCCTCGCAGACCAGACCAGACCAGACCAGAGCCTTGGGCTCGAGGCCCACTGCAGCGGCCCTCCGGACAGTCAGCCCCCTACCTGGCTGCTCTGGGGCGCTGCTGATGGTGAAGGGATGCCACTCGAACCGGGCGATGACCGGGATGTTCAGGTACACGTAGTCCCCAGGTTTGTAGTGGAAAAAGGGGGGTCTCTTAATCACCAAATGAGTCACCTGGATTTCAAAAGAAATAACATGCCCGCGTGGGGATGCAGTAAGGATTCAGTGGACGATGCACCAGAAACCACACTTCCTTTTCCGTTCTCACCAGCAGGTTACCCAAGTTCATACACTTTTCCTTTTACCTTACCGTTTGTGGTACACACCTTGGAGGGCAAAAGGTTGATTTCCACAATGTACAGCCCGCCGACACGTGACAAAGCTGCTGCAAAGGCCTTCTCTCCAAGGAACAGAAATCCAGGTATCACAAACCACTTCCAGAAATTAGGGCCGTGAATTATCAGCAAAGCCCAGACAGGGATGTAAGAAAGGTGAGTCCAGTAGAAGACCTACTGGCGACAAAGGAAGGGACACATTTTGAACGGCAAAGTGAAATTACATCAAGGGCTTAAAAGAACTATATAAAATTCCGTATTTGCCAATATTTCAGAGGGGAACATCCAGGGCGTTAAAATACCCCAGATGGTGGCTATGACCAAGCAAATAAAGTCCTGCTCTTTGCTATGGGTGTTACATAGACAGCTCAGGTGAAAACGGGGTGGGGCTCTGAGCAGCCAGTTGCAGCCACCACCTTAATTTTCCCCCCTCCTGTAGCCACTGCTCATTTCAGAATCAGGAACAGGGACATGATTGTGTTGATGGGCCTCACATAGCGTAATGCACAGTGCTCCTCTCTGCCCCCGTCTGCCATGTTTTCTATGACTTTAGAGGGGAAAAATAAATAAGTGGACAAGGATGCCCACTCTCCACTTTTGTTCATTTTAGCTCTTGAGGTACTGCATAGAGACATAAGACAAGATGAGAGAATATTGGGAGTTAAGATTTAAAAAAAGAATTTATAAGTTAAGGACATTTGCAGATGATTTGGTGTTAATTTTAGAAGACCCACTAGAGGGAGTAGAAATTAATGGGAAAATTACTTTGGTATGTTAGCAGGCTTTAAGATTAATAATCAGAAGACAAAGATGTTAACAGAAATATGAAATTAGAAAATCAAATAGAACTGCTGGAGAAAACTGGTTTTAAGATTGAGAAAAAACTAAAATACTTGGGTATTACTATGACAAATATGAATTGTATGTTACTTCAAAATAATTAAGACATGGAATGAAATTAAGAAGGACATGTTAAGATGGGAGAAATTAAAATTGTCACTACTGGGGAGAATCTGTGTGATAAAAATTAATGTTTTTCCAAGAATGATGTTTCAGACAATACCTGTTTTGACAACTGATGTACCATTTAAACAATGGCATATCTAAATTTATATGGCAAGGGGGAAAAACCACAAGTTAAATATAAAGTATTACAAGATGCAAAGAAAAGAAGATTGGGTTTACCAGATTTGAAATTGTATTTTGCTGCTTGTTGTTTGATCTGAACGAAAGAATGGATGTTGCTAAGAAACAAGAGACTTTTACAGTTAGAAGTTAGAAGCTTGGATGGCATGGATATTTATGGTATGATAAAGCCAAGGTTAAAATTAATGTGGACTTTAAAAATCATTTTATTACATATGCCATATTGAAAATATGGAATAGCTATAAACCCAGGTTGTGCCCGAAAACACCTTTATGGATCTCAGCTCAAGAAGCACATCAAAGAAGAGAAACAGCAGACAGATGTACCAGGAACTATTGGAAAACCATCAAGGGGAATTTAAAATCAAATCAAGAGAGCAATTAATAGCAGAATAATATAGTTGTCAATAGTTTTCCCATTTACAGTTATCAGAAAGATTCAAAATGGACAAAAAGTCATGGTACTGAACAAAGTAAGACAGAATTTGAAGTAGAATTGTGTACTGATGATACACATGTAATTGCTAAATGTATAAACTTTTGCTGAAATATGAAACAGAGGAAGAACAGGTTAAAAAACATATGATAAAATGGGCTAAGAATTTTGGTTATAATATACAGATGGATCAATGTGGTTAAAAGGGTTGAAATTTAGATTGTGTTATACAGAGGATTTTAAAAATTAATATTCAATTGAAGCCAGAACTTTTCCTTTTAGGACTAATGGATCAATAGTTAGAAAAAAAGCCATGGAAGATTATTTTAATGCATGATTACTGTGGCGAGATTATTATATTCACAGAGATGGAAAGATTCGACACTATGGAGGAATGGTTGGTGAAATTGACAGATCTTGCTGAGATGGATAAATTAACTTCTTTGATTAGAGAAAAAACACTATCTACATTCATTGGGGACTGGAAACCTCTTATGGACTTTTTGTGTCAAAATTTTAAAAAATGATACCAACAAAAGAGAATATGTGTAGCTCAGGGTTCAGCTGTGGAGTCCTTGGGGTTCTCTGAGCTTGGTAGTTTTCTTGCAAACATTTTGTTACCCAGCTAGGTCACATCTTCAGTTTTCAGTGCTACTTCACTGAAAATGTTACCTAGCCAGGTAACAAAACGTTTGCAAGAAAACTACCAAGCTCAGAGAACCCCAAGGACGCCGTCAAAAAAATGAATTTGTGATTTATGGCTTTGATGATTAGACAGGATAGATTATAGAAAGAAGAGTATTATGATGTAACT